TATAACTTGGAACTAGGGCTTTGGGTAAAATTTTTAAAAATGTAAATTCGTCGATTTGTGTAATTTATGAAAATCATGATAAAATTTTGGATGTGACAAATCGGGTGCTTGTTATTGATTTGAATTCTTTGACGGACATTGGTGTAGTCCTAATGAGAATTGATTTTTTTTTTTTTTTTGCATAATCACAAAACATTTGTAACTACTTAAGCTATTAAGCCATATTCATTTTTATTATCTTAATAATGACTATAATAAAATAGATTCCGAAAAAAAAAAACTCTTACAGTAAATATTTTTCAAAAAAAATTTTATGTACTCTCAATATATCAAAACCGTTGTTGAAACTTGGCCGAGGCTGAAACTAATCAATAAAAATTGATAGATGCTAAACAATTAGGTGCATTAGTTTCAGCTTCAACCAAAATCGCAAGCATAAGCCGCGACAATGAATATATCTAATCTTAATTTAGCTTAGTAACTTCAAAATTGTTAGATACCTAGTAAAAAAAAAAAAATCAAAAATCAATTAGGTGAATATGTGTATACGGATGAAATGTTCAACTATAGCTAAAACTTCAGAAATTTACTTTGCTAAGCAAGTGTTCACCATACACAACACCTTCATAATGACTAATAGGATCAACTTCAAGACATTTTGTGAGTGGTTCAATCTTTGCATCAAAGTTTGGCTCGTAAAAGAACGGAATTCTTTTTAGTCATAATATATATATTATGTTAGAGTTGTTTATAATTTAAAATAAGGTTTTGTTTCAAATAAAAGTACTCACGAGACCCTATAATTACTATTATTATGGATAACTCTGTGTAAAGTGCTTTTATATAAATCATTAGTCCATACCTAAATTTTGAATGAATATTAGTAAAATAAAGAAAAAAAAACAAATATTTGAGTGATAAGTAATACGTAAGAACTCACATTTAGCATATCACCAATATTTACAACAAAAGTATTAGGTATAGGATCTACGCCAATCCAATCTCCTCCTTTTGTTTTAACTTGGAGTGCATCTTTCGTGGAATCCTTTTAGAAAAGTCATTAAGCAAATATAATTTACGTATGCTGAATAGACAATGTGAATTGTTTTATAAATACCATATTAAGAAAAGTTAAGCATCTTTTTGCAGTAAAAGAAAAATAAGTTAACGTAACTTTTTATGAAAATTCAAGAGAATAAAATATGCAAGACATACCCATAATCTATTTTATATTCCAATAGTTTTTTCAACAATTAATATCACGAAATTAGTAAGATTTCATTGTATTGAAATCGAGAAGGATCAATACGGGACACACACGAATACGACTCTGAAATCCCTTATTATCCTTAAAATTCTTTTTTCTCCTTAATTAAAATAAGTATAGTAAGGAATGAAAAGTGCTCCTGAACTGAATTTTGTACTAGGTAAACCTGCTTATACTACGTCATAATTATTTCAGTCCGAAGAACCATTTTTATTAGAGCGCAAAAGGAGGTTTATTTAGTACCAAATCCAGTTCCGGTACACATTTTATTTTTTTTTGTCTTTTGGGATGCGCGAAACTACATGTTATTTTTGAAGGACCTGATTTTCAAAATAACGCCCACAGGCGTTATTCCGAGATTGTACGGTACTAATGCTACTCACTGTATAGTTTGGTTCCGAATTTTATCTCGCACCAGTTTCATTACTCTGAGAATTTAATCTTATCAGATTGTACTATATTCGGAACTTTTGACTAATTGGCAATACTATAACTCCAATATTCATGTGTGCTATTATCTTCGTTAAATACTATATGTGTAATGATAAGACAACTTACCAGTATGCTCACCACAACTATGTTTTACACGGTCCACACCATTCGCATTACTCAAAGGTGGATAACCAATTACTCTCATCACCCTGTTCAGAGATCGAGGGATGATTAAATATTGACGTTTCCCTAAACGATGAACCAGATTGAGGAATGCACCCACCAGAATGAATCGTCCATAAATTTTACAAAATGATCATGTTCCAATCCTAGGCCAATGGCAATAGCACTCATAACTTTAGCACCCAATGAATTCATATGTTCTATATATTGTTCAAATACACTACGAAATTCTGAAGGATTTGTTGGCCATTGGTTTTTGCCTCTTAATGGAAGATTTTTGATAACCAACGGATGATTAGGGGAGACCGGCTTATAATAATCTAGTGCCTGTAAACATAAAAAAAAAAACAATAAAAAAAAAATAAATAAATAAAAATAAAATAAATAAAAACTAAATTTTATAAAAATTTCAACCTACCTCATGCCAGTCTTTTTGATATCTTGTAACATTCTCACCAAGTCTTTGATATCCCCTTATTTAAATTATATCAAATTACTCTAAGTCATTTGTCTTTAAATAATAATAATAATAATCGGACTTTACCTTGCAAAATCTTCGTTGGCAATACTTAATTTGTCCTTTTCTTCATTAGGCAAATGAAAAAATTCGTATCCCAACTTTAAAACACGCTCACATATATCTTGTGGTACATTGTGACCTTTCAGATAAAAAAATCCGACATCTCTACATGCAATGTCAAGTTCTCGAGCTACTTTTTGCCTGTCAGATTCTGCGTAAACGCTGTTAGAATCAGTAAATGATGAAAAATCGATTACTGGAATCGCTTCTAATTTCATTTCTTTGAGTGAGAATGCGATTTTTAGGTTACCGTCCACGTATTAACATTAAAAGAATATATGTATCGGCATGATCGTCCGGATCATATATATATATTTTTTAGATTAGTTTCCTTTATAGTGCTTTCACCTGATGACAATCAAGACAATACATTCCTTTTTCTCAAAAGGGGGGAGGAGGGGGGAGAAAAATGGGGTAATTTGGCGCATCGAAATAACACATGAAAATAAGATTTTTTACTAAGCAAGTAGAACTTCATCCACTAAGTTATTGAAAATACCGTTTACTAGATACATTCAAAGTTTGATACGATTTGATTAATTTTTCATTAATGTTATACGTCCTGGGCGGAAAGTTTACTTTTTGCGCCAAATGTATGTGAAAATAAATTAATGAAAAATTCACTAAATCGCACCAAAATTTGAAGGTATCCATAACGGTATTCCCAATAACTTACCGTATAAACGCGGAATAACGCCCATGGGCGTTATTTTGAAATCGGGATCTTCAAAATAACATATGTAGTTTTAAAATTAACGGTGATGTACGTTTTGACTGTCCAAAGGCTTTTTTGGCACTGTCCAACGTCCAAGTGTCCAAGTGTCCAGAGCATGTCTAAGTTTTAATAATTAATAATTTGTTTAAAAAAAATATATTATTATATATTTTTTTAGGTGCTGAACATATTTTACTTAGAAAATAATATAGGTTATCTTAATAAAATTTTGAGTAATTTTAATTTATTTAATTGTTCAAAATTGTCCAAAGTGTCCAAATCTACTGTCCACAACTGTCCCGTGACAACACTGCCCATGGGCGTCCCGAATTAACGCGCACCCCTCGCATAAACAATTATTTCACAAGCATATAGCAGTATAAATATGATTTAAATCACGGAAACCACAAGCTAAACACGTAGCCGGGTATCTATATTAAAATTTTTGATCTTTAGTGTGTCTGTCCATGATATGGCTCTTTCATATCTGTTCTGTGCCATATTTGAAGAGAATTTAATTTATGCATTTGATTTAAATATATACTGTATGACGAATATAATGACAGAGAAAAATAAATCACTTCAAATTGTTACCGATACTAGCACTAATAATAAATATTTTAAGCATGTAAAATAGACATTTAGCAAATGTCGGACGTAACGGGCCAAATGTTGATTTCAAAAGAATGTTAAACGAAGAATGATAACGTAAAAAATCTGCATTTAATTGATGACAATAAAATTACTGGTAAACTAGCACGTCCTTTTGTCTGTGCTTTTTTTTTTATTAAGTTTAATTAGATATCATTTGACAATGACTGTCGGATCCAGTTGTTAAACATTACCAATATACAGTAAATTAAAATTTATAAGTTAGATGCTTCTTTTTGCTTAATAACTTTTAAAATTTTTTACTTCGAACTCGTTTTCTATTAACCATTCAGATTTTGTAATGTCACGAAATTTATCTGCTACAGACAAAAATTTACTGCGAAAATACAACTGACATATCAGCAGCGTAAGCAGCTGAGATGTCTGTTGTACTTTTCCAGTAAATTTTCGCTTATATAAATCTCTTAAGGTACGTATAATTGATTTATGCCTTGCTATTTACGTAACATTGTTATGTGAGTTCCTTTTCTAAGATTCCAGCGAATGATCATCAGTAACCAAAATTGAAAATTAATTACTGGTGTTACTATCGTCATGTGAACATTTTTCTGCCGTACGTCGATCCTCCGTTGTGAACCGTTAACCGTACCACTTGACTTTTCTTTTCCTTTTCTTCTTATTTTAGTAATACTTTATTAGATTATCCATTTCCTATTTTATACTTTATATACATATTTTATCTCCATTACTATAATTAGCCACTCATACATAGCTTATAGATATGAAGTCGTTTGATTTTAAAGTCATTATCCAAGTTGCATCTTTTTCTAAGGATTGTTTTCATCGTCAAATTATTGGTTCCTGTAGGCGCCGCGGTATTGAATAAATCACCAAACTTGGAAATGGAACAATGATTTTTCAGAACAGAATACATTTACTTATTATCAGAATGCTGTATAATAAGTAGAGAAACAATGTAATTTTTGGGAGGAAAATTAGATAGAAAGGTTTTATGGAAAGTGTTAGTTAAACAACAGAAGAAAAATAGCCTGTCAATTGAATAGTGTATTAATTTATATGTATTGAATTTTGTATTTAACGACTCGATTTTTGATTTTAATAAAGTTTATTCAGACTTTGATCTCATATATTTGAATAAACCTACTTAAAATTATCGAATTCTCACCCAGTTATTTTAGATAAATCATTGTGAATACATCTTCACAGCATTATCTTAGATTAATTATTGGAACCTATGTTTATGGCTTTATTAAAATTCTTATTATATTGTTATTTATATATGCCCTATGCTTGGCCTCATTGTTAAAAATCACTTAAAAGTTACCTGCATCATTATTAATCCTGATTTAATTAAATAAACTATTGTACTTACTATATATATCCTTTTTACGCTTTTGTCGTACATACATCCCAATATCTCTATCATTAAGACAGCTTACCAATCTTATTTACTTATTATTCTATTTTTTATTATATCATATAATTATTACAATTACAACTATCCACCTATCATTATATCTACTTTGTCTTGTATTACCACTTTATTTTATCTGATACCCCTTCCATTTACTATTGCTGATCTAAATTCATTCCACTTACTGACACTCTTATAAAATTATGATAGTAACACCGGTAAAAAACTTTCACCTATTATTTGAAGTTTAATATCTAGTAATTAGATTATTCAAACTTCAGCAATAAACTATTCAATTTCAAATCTCAATTTTTGAACATCATATTTTAAACATGTGCTAGTATTCAAGTTTATTTGTATCATCTTAGTTTGTGACAATGGATGAATGTTTATTATTTAGCCTAACATCAATTATGCTTGATAACCGTTAAATGACTGTATAACAGAAAAATTAAAGAAAATAAAAATTTTTTTTTTGGGTTTATTTATATGTATCCTAAGGTACTTGTACTACATCATATGACCTATATAGATCATATAAATTCAAGATCAGATATAATATTACACAATCAAAAAATTCAAAACAAACGGTGTTTTAACAGAAATTACTTATTTTGCAAGAAATTGCATACAAACCACCTTCTGTACATTAATAAAAAGTTTTTCTTGAGCAATTTTACTATATAACTTTCTAAATACTGATTCTAACATAGTTCTCACCCTAACTCTAAACTAATATTAACAATATTAGGTACAAAAAAAATTTAATATATTCTATGGGTACATTAAAAAAAAAATAAAAAAAAAATATATATATATTTTTTTTAAGAAATAAATGCATTGCACTATTATAATATAGGGGCCTTATATTTGTTCTGCTAGTAGATTTTGTTTTTGTGCAGTAGATTATAATAAATAGGAAGATAAGTATAAAAATTTTTTTTTTTTTTAAATCACTATAGTGCTACAACTTTATTAATTTCAATTAAGGAATTACATTAGTACATAGTACATAAGTTGTGCTATATTATTTCTAATGACACCCACCCTAGCAATCTAATCGTAAATTTCTCTATTTAGAACTAATTGATAACTCTATCTACTAATTCTAGGATGGAATACGACTCTCCTATTCTATACAAGATCTATTATATTTCTTAATTATACAATAACCACCTTCTACTTCCTGCAGCAACTTTTTATTCTCCCAGCTTGGTGTCTGCCAGAGGTTTTTGCTTCTTTCAGAGCTCTCAAGTTGGTGTACATAGCCCTTCATGTATTGGTACCGATCAGCACAGCCAGATTTATCGAATATTTGGTTGTTATTCTGCAGTGTACTACTTACTTAATATACTTCTAAAGGTGGTAATACCTTTTGCCACAGCCACTACCAGATTTATAGCACACAGTATGGCACATATTATTGATGTTAATAATGTACATTACTATACTTTCATTCCTTTTTATTGGTCTTGTATTTGGCCAGAGGTGTTCTAATTTCAGTTAGACTAATCCTTGACCACAAATCATCTTCATGTTCACCACTTTTCTCACTACTCCAATTTTATTACCTGTATTACTCTTCCAAGCAAGTACCTTATACTTATTATATAAAGATGTTGGTGTAGCCTCTAAGTCACCCCAACTGGAGAACTTATTCAAGCAACCTTGTATAACAGAACCTTCTGTAACACTGCTGTCACGCTATAATGCCCCACTCCATAATTAGATCTCTTTTCAAAAATTTCTTATTCCAGTCTTGTACTTCACTTGGACTTACTACAGGGCTCTGTATTCAATAACAGTCCTCTTTTAGGTTACAGAAGCTAAAATCTAAAGATTTTGCCTCTAGCCCAACTTGAACCGTCAATCTAGTCTGTGGGGTTTGGCAGCTTAACCACTAAGCTATAGGACCCAAACCCTAGTATAAAATTTTTTTTTATAATAATCTACTATTTAATAATTTTTATTACCTTATTTATCATCAATGCCCATCATATCATCAGAGTCATCATCTATCATTTTTTCATTATTAAGCTTATTATCAGAATTTGATTCATTATCTACATCATTCTGATTTGATGGTTTATTATCTTCTTTCTTAGAAAAGCATATTTCATTTAGATGATTTGTGATAATAGCTTGAAGATAGCTTGTTATTTTGTTATCTTCACTGCTATCAGGATTAAGTGTAAGTTCAAATGCTTCAAAAGACTGAGCCAAAAGATCTGTGCTGATTTCTCTTCATGTTTCAGAAACTCATTCATATATTATTTTGTATAATACTTTTTTGCAATTTTCTTTTTTAGTAAATCTGCCTTTTCTTTGTCCAATTATTTTGTTTATCTTTGCATTATATTATTTTTAAATGGCTTGTTTACTGATACATCAGGTGGTTGCAAAATGCAAGTAGTTCTACTAAGTATCTCTAGGATATCTAAACTTTTCTAAACAAA